ATGAGAAAGAAGAACTATAAATTTGTTAAGGTGAGGAAGAGGTAGACTCAATAGTGACAATTTCATCTTCCCTATGCACACTGACCTTTTGTTAGGACAAGAAGATGTTATATGGTTGTTCCCTAAACATTTAAAACACTTAAGATGGCTAGGTCTAGAAAGAGATATGGAATTAGAAGATGAATTATGTGAAGAAGAAAGTTGAGGAGACTTATTAGAAAGCTTCCTAGAAACATCTTTGTCTTGCTCCTTTAATGATGAGGAATTATAGAATACATCTCTTGAGGAGTTTGAAAATTTAGTGTGGGAAACTTCTTTTCTCAAGAGTTTTTTTTTCTACTTTGATAGCTCTATGAATCACAACATTTCACTTCTCATTATCATGGGGTGTAACTAAATCTTGGATGTTTCTATGAAGTCCACTAATAAACCTTGTTATTTTTGTTTGTTCATTTTCAATTGTGTTAGTACAGTAGGATCACTTTGAGCTCACGAGCATACTCATCCACACTTCGTCTACCTTGAGTAAGTCATTGGAGCTTAACCAAGAGGTCCCTATGGTAGTGTGGAGCTACGAATTGCTGGAAGAAAATGTTCTTAAAATGTTCCCAAGAGTTCACGTGTGAGTCCATGGTGGTAATGTTCATCCTAGTTAGCCATTGCATGGCGTATTCCTCTAAAGCTAATGTAGCTAATTTTACACGTAAAACATTATCTACATTATACAAATCAAAAACTTGTTTTACTTTAGCTAGCCAATCTAAAAAAGTGAAGGATCTTCTTCTCCTTTGAAGAGCGGCAAGTTCACTTTTTGGCAAGGGAAGGTATTGGTCCATGGTTCTATCTTCTTGATGCTTATTGAAAGGACCATGACCATGAGGAGTGGACTTGCGCTCTTGGTGTCTATGTGTGCTTTCCTTTCATCTTATCCTCATTGTCCATCCTTCTACTAAGAGGATCAAGTTGATGTTGAAGTTGTTGAAGAGTTTTTGCCATGTCCAATTTGCTAGAAGCACTTCCTTGATAACTATCTTCATTAGAGGAAGAAGGCCTTAAACCTGTAGACATTATGCTAACCAAACAGCAGCAAAAACTCACAAAAAAATGTTAGAACAGCAGCAAAATAATGACGTGAAACAGCAACAATGGACACTCAAAACAGCAGCACTTGCTTGGCTCAAAGCTCACGGTTTNTCTATAATTAAAAAAATCAAACAGCAAATAAGAAAAAGAAGAAAAATTATGCAATTAAAACAAAACATTTTTATTGAAAGATTTTCAGAAAAATTATTAATTTCCTACTTATTTACATAGAATACTAAAAATATACCTAAAAACCTATTTTTAACTAAAATTAAACAAAATTAAAGAATTAAGGGAAAAACATAAAACTAGCCTAATTCTAAACAATTAAAAACTAAAAGAAGCTAAGAAAGACTCCTAAACACAGAAAAATATGCAAAATTGGAGAGTTATCACCCCTTCATACACAATATCCCCATCATTCCCAAAATACATAACTTGCCTCTACTACAACGACACCCCCTATGTGTATTAGCACCTCCAATAGCACCGTCGTCACGCCACCACAACACTGTCGTCACTCCGCGACAACAACCTCGTTAAGAAACACCTTCGAACATCCCCCTTGCAACAATGTAATCCGTGAATGACCACCCTCCTCACCTGAACTCTCCTCATGTTGACACATTGATTTAAGAAAAAAGGGGTTAGGGTTCGGGGTTCTGAACGATGGAGATTAGGTGAAGTCTCCGATGCTTGGGGTAGAGGGAGAGAGGAAGACTTGTGGGGAAGTTGCGCGAAAACATTTGGGACAATGGGAGAGGGAAATCCCAAATTCTCATTTCATTAAGTCGATGCTTATATCGGCGATCGTAATCCTTTGGTAATCACCACCTCACATGCCCTTTGATAAATTCATCGGTAAATCGATATTACCTGCGGACTAAAGGCCATCGGTATTAGTCCTTCGGTATATAGTGCATTTCCTGTAGTGAGAGAAGATTACATTTGAGAGTTGGTCTCTGTAAGTCTTGCTGATTTAACTCAAATCTTTATAGTGGAAGGTCTTGCAATCTCAAGTTGATTGAAAGGGATTGGATGTAGGCATTGAGGTCGAACCAATATAAAAATGTATGTTTCTTTTCTATCCTTTGACATTTTTACTACATTATTTTCATTATTGTCTTGTGTATTAAATATCATTCTAAAGATTTTCAAAAAGCTAGGAAAAGAAAGCATTTTTATTAAAAACCAATTCACCAACCCCCCTCCTCTTGGTAAGAGAAATAGGCCTAACATTTCTTACACTACGGGTTGTTATAATTAGCCAAGTTAACATAGCAATATTTTTAAACCTGATGCATGACAATGTTGTGATAGTTTTGCTTACAAAAATTATTGTGTTTTGAATTTATGAACATGTAGGAGTGTGACATGGCTATGTTCTCCTTTGTTTGTTCTGTGTCTCTTTTTTCAATAAATCTAACAACATATTCATTGTAATAATAGAGAAAGGTTTCATGGAAAAATGAGGATGAGGATCAAGTTGATGTTGAAGTTGTTGAAGAGTTTTTGCCATGTCCAATTTGCTAGAAGCACTTCCTTGATAACTATCTTCATTAGAGGAAGAATGCCTTAAACATGTAGACATTATGCTAACCAAACAGCAGCAAGAACTCACAAAAAAAATGTTAGAACAGCAGCAAAATAATGACGTGAAACAGCAACAATGGACACTCAAAACAGCAGCACTTGCTTGGCTCAAAGCTCACGGTTTTAGCAAAAAAAACAAAGGAAGGATCACTCCACTCACTTGCACTCTTCACTCAAGATAGAATGGTGTCTCAAAGTTAGATTTTTAGAGCACAAAATCAGTGACAAAGACAAGTGAAAGGATGTACAATCCAACCTCAACAAATAAAAGAACACAATCCAAGAGACATGCACTTCAAGAGGTAAAAAGCAAGTGAAAACTACTAGACAAGTGATGTAAAAGGAACATATGAAAGCAAGAAAATTGGCACAAAAAAAAATGGCAGCACACTAGAAACTATAAGAGACAAAACAATAATGAAATGAAGGAGTCAAAACAAAGGCACATGTGAAGAAAAAAAAATACTACAGCAAACAAAAATTACACAAACTAGAGGTAATCACACCAAAAACATTATGCATACATGAAGAGAAAGACCTTAAAATGAGTGTAAATAATTTGGCATGCTTCAAACCTATATGTTCTGTAAAGTGATGATAAAAGAGGCTCAAAATGCAGCTGCCAAACACACAAAACAGTGAAGAAATGTCTCGGCCAGACCAGCAAAGGCAAAGCAAAAAGATTTGGATTTTATTGGTTCATGCAGTTTTGTATCTAGTATCGGCCAAGCATGGTTAAAGTGACTATGTGTGTTTGATCAAAGCTGAAATTTGTTTTGTTTAATACCTCTCTACTAATGCAAACCATACAAGCAAAGCCTACACACTTAAATCCCAAGGTGATCCATCTCAATTCAGCATGCATAAGCAATGATGCAAAGAACTCTTAGCAAGTGCAATTTCAAGAAAATTTTTCTAGAAAACTCTTAAAGAGGAACACATATACTCAAAGCAAAGGATAAAACAGGCAAGAAAGACTCTAAACAGACCAGCCAAGACAAGAATTAATAGCTGGACAAGGAACACACAAAAGGAATTAGAAGCCTACTTGTTAAAGACCTTCAAAGATGCTTATTGCTTGTGTTGGAAGGTGCTGGTTGTAGCCTCTGGACAACAGCGTTTAACCACTTCTAGGCACTTGATTGAAGGCTTTTGAGCATCCTTAAAAGTTTCTTGATGAAGTACAACATCCAGTAGAGAAATTCCAGCCACCAAAACAGCAAGCACATATAGCAAAACAGATTTGAATCACTGAAACAGCAAGCACTGGACGGAACAGTGAATGAAGTAGCACCAATTTGACATAGTAAACGAATGAATTAAAACGAAATAAGAATTGGATATTTTTGTTGACATGTAAACGAAAGTGTAGAAACCTATGTTATTTCTTTTTATGCTTGTTGTCATTCTTAAACTCTTCATGTTTGCTCTATATCTATGATCATATCAGTATATAATTTATATGTAACAGGATCTTTTAGATTATATATGGATTTCGACCGTATATTATAACGTTTTTTCTTGTAGTGAATGTAATCACAATCCAACAATTATTAGTAACCCTAATTTGTTTTAAGTTAATTAATGTTAATGGTAATTTTATAATAATCAAATCATTCGGTACATCATTGATAGATGACCATGTTTCTCACGTAAATCTGGTCGTGTGTGGTTATACATGTACAAGTAATTTGTTTTTAATAATAAATTTTTTGAGAAACTAACCAAAATATTTTTATTAAGATAATTAATTATTATTTGAGCTAATAAATTAATTACGGAACACATTATCATGAGAATTACTCACTAATCAAATAAAATTCAAGTTTTTTCAATATAAACTTAGCATAATTAATATTGATAAAAAACCTGAAAAAAAAAACTTCATACAATTTTGTTAAAATATTTATTAAATATTGATCTATACTTTCCATCTAATATTCTAAAACAGGAATAAGAAAAAACATATATATGAACAGTATCTATCAACTAGAAGTGCAGGGATAAACAAACAGTCAATGCATCTTTCCTGTCAACAACAATAAAGTAATCTAATAAATAGCTTATTAATTTCGTCATATCACAACCTGTCCCTACATTTATTTTGACAGTCTGTTACTTTCCTCACATTTAACCCTCACATCTAACCCTGAAGCTAGAAATTTGCTCCATTTCTCGCATTTATTTTCTTTTTATCCATAAGTTTGCGTATTGAAGAGACTTGAAACGTGTGGTTATGTGATCCAAGCATTTATTTGTTGGTAACTGCTGTAGAATCGTGTCACACTCTCTTTCTCTCTCTCACACACACTCATATATAAGCATGGACATGCAATTCTAATAGCACGCACCAGCATAAAGATGGTAGCCATTGTTGCTTCTTACAGTGTCTTTCCGAGTAAAGAAACTCCCAAAGTTCAATTATGGTTATCAGATAGTGACCAAGTCGTGCGTTCAGGTCACACACCCACTATCTATGTATACCAAGCAAAACACTATGATGGCACCACCCAGAGGTTGATAAACTCTCTTGCTCAGATTTTAGTGCCCTACTACCCACTTGCTGGTAGGTTGAGCTTAGCAGAAACTGGTCGAATTCAAGTGGATTGCAATGCCAAAGGAGTCACTTTTATTGAAGCCGAAACCACAAAATCATTGGCTGATTATGGAGACTTTTCACCTTCTGATTCTGTCAGGGAGCTTGTTCCAAAGATTGATTACACTCGACCCGTAAAGGAAATTCCTTTGTTGCTTGTGCAATCCACAAGATTCCATGGTGGTGAAGGTTTTGTCATTGGAGTGGCTTTCTGTCACCCTTTGGCTGATGGGTTTGGTGGCATTCAGTTCATCAATTCCTGGGCAAAACTGGCTCGCGGAGAGACACTTGAGCCATATGAATTGCCCTACCTTGATAGAACAATACTCAAACTCCAACACTCATCAACATCACCGTGCTTTGATCACCCCGAGTTGAAGCCTCTACCACTAAAACTAGGAAGCTCTGACATCAACGCTGAGGAAAGCAAGAAGACAAGGGCTGTGCTACTGAAACTGACGCAAGAACAGGTGCAGAAGCTGAAGAATGAGGCGAATGAAGAACCCTTGCAAGAAGGGGTGAGAGCTTATAGCAGATTTGAAGCTATTTCCGGTCATATATGGAGATGTGCAAGCAAGGCTCGTGAACTTGAAGAGAAGCAAGAAACGGTGGTTCGGTTCAATGCTGATATCCGTAGCAGACTGATTCCTCCTCTTCCTAGGAATTACTTTGGGAATGCTTTGGCAGCAACAGTGTCACCGAAATGCTATGTTGGAGAAATAGTGTCAAAGCCTTTGAGGTATGCTGCAGAAAAGGTAAGAGAAGCGATTGAAAAGCTTAGTAATGAGTACATAAGGTCACAACTGAGGATTGTGTTAGGAGAGGAGCAATTGGATTGCATAAGGGGTTTGTTCTTGGGAGAAGGAGAGCGTAGAAATGTTCCTTTTGCAGGGAATCCGAATCTTCAAATCACAAGCTGGATGAGCATGCCAGTGTATGGAGCAGATTTTGGATTGGGAAAGCCTGTGTTTTTCGGATTGGCATATGTTGCTTCGCAAGATAGGGCTGTGATTCTTCTGAGTCCAGATGGTGATGGATCCATTATTGTCTCCATGCACTTCCAAGAATCACATTTGGAGCTTTTCAAGAAATTGTTCTACCAGAGTTTGTGAAATTGACCCGCATCACCAAAACTATATTCAGCTTGGCACTGCCAACTTTTATACGTAATTATGATAATGTTGTCTGTGGCTTCAGTTTACTTTCGATTCTTCTTTCTTCTTCACACAGGATGATGTTTTTATCTGAAAATTTAGGAAAAAAAAAAAGACGGTCTTAAATTGATTGATTAACTCAAGTCAAGTTATCTTCTTGAGTAGAGGTACTTGGTAGGTATTTGTGAATTTTTTTTATGTTAGAAAGTAAAAATAGTAACTTATCTCCTTGTTTTATATATAATTAAAATTAAATTAGTTTAAAAGCTATTTAAATTTTGTGATAGGTTTTCGATTAAGGTTGGCGTAATTACACCATTCAACTTTTAACGAAATAGTTTTGATTGATAATTTCTTTCAATTCGATCAATCAATTTTCATAATGTTTAGACAATCTGATATAGTGATTCACTGTTCGGCCTAACAATCGACCATTCAAATATATTATATACAAATCTTTTTAGAAAAAAAGATGATTGTAAAATAAGTAAACTTTTATATTTAAAAACAAAAAATTTAAGAATAACGAAGAGTAGTGTCAAATTAGTGTGGAAAATAATTATTGATGTGAAAAGATCATTGTTCGAAAATTTACTAACGCTTTACGCTTATCTCTTCAAGTTATTTGCCATATATAATTTGGATTAATTTTGTTAAAAGTTACTCTAAATTTGAATGATATAAGTTTCTGTTCAATTTTTTATTTTATTAGATGTTTAAATTTATATTTTTTAATTAAATTTATATTTTTTTAATATTTATATTAAGGTTTAATTATTCGCTAAGTTTCTATTTCGGGTAAGAATCTCATATTGATCCTTTTCTTTTTCGGTGTCTCAATTGGATCCTTATTTCTGTGAAAATTGCAACAATTACACTCCTACCATTAAATTGGACCCAACAACATTAATGTAAGGTTGATGTAACATGCTGATCTTCATTTTTAAACGACGTGCTCACGTTATTTACTAATAGAAAAGTCTGATGTGAAATTTTTTTTTTTAATTAAAAAATTAAAAAAAGTTAATTACACAAACTTGGAAATCAAGAGAAATTGGAAATGTGGTTTTAGGGTTCAATCGGAATTAATAAGAGAAATTAGAAATTTTGTTTTAGGGTTCAATCACAACAGAAATTTGTGAATCAATCAAAACAAATTGGAGATTTGATTTTAGGGTTTTGGTTACGCGAGGGTTTCACAAGTTAAATCGTGATGGTGGCACGATTTGAGATTTTAGGGTTTTTGCTAGTATGTGTTTTGGTTTTGTGAATCGCGAGTAGAAGATGAGAATTGATGTTGGCATCGCGTAGTCTTGCGACTTGTGTGCGATTCATGCACTAGTGCAGTCAGGGGAAACGACAACGGTTATTTTCGCCAATAGACAGTGGTTCATGAACCGAGGTATATTCAAGCGAGGCAAAAAGTCTACCACTTTTGGCCTCGGCTCAGAACCGAGGCATAAAAGGGATGGATACTGACTCGGTTCAAGCTAACCAAAGCATTAGATTTCTGAATTTTTTAAATTTTTATTTCTCAGGACTTTATGCCTCGGTTGGGTCAATAACCGAGGCAGTATGTCCCAATCTACTTTAATATCACTTTTATCTCTATTTATATATTCATAGACTAAAAAATATTTATTTATCATAAACGTAAGTTATATATATATATATATCTGTC